CGTAGGACGTGCGTGCGCACTGTTTTATAAGTCTGAATATTTCTGTGCGTACGCACGTCCTACGTTTAATCCGTACGCCACTTCTGGCGCAAATCCTACGCAAGGTTTTATAAATGAGGGGCCCGTCTGCATTTTTGCCCTTGGCTCCTTTTGGATTTTGACTATTAAAGGCTTTTTGTTTCCCAAAAAACTCGTTTGAGTCCTGCCCTCCAGCTGACATGACGTACACAGTTATCGCTGAAAGAGGATGCAGACATTCTGCGCTCTCAAGAGCTCTGCTGACTATTATTTGTCAAGTTTGTCCAACAAAGACTTATACATATTATAATGCAATTGATTCAAAACAAAGAAGGTAAAGCTCATCTGGGGTGGGAAGGTTTACAATGCTCCTATGTCATCAAAGGGAACCACTGACCTCTAGGATAGATTCTAGTTATATACGTAATTGAAAAAGTTAACATGAATGATGAAAAGGATCTGTCCTCTTGTCAAAAACCATGCCAACTTGTTGCCATGGTTTTGTGTTGTGTTGTTCTGATGTTTTGAATGTTGTTGTAGGTGCAGCTGTTCTAGGTGGGGCAGTCACAAGAGTCGCTGATGAAGGTGCAGCTGTCACAAGAGTCCCTGATGTAGGTGAAGCTGTTGTAAATGGAGCAGTAAGAAGAGCCATTTAGTTAAGCTTGTTGAAAGGTCTTGGACTGCAGTCACTACATTTTATACTTACTTTTTAAATCTGAATTTAATAAAAGGAAGCTGGTATATATCTATCATAAACAAGGTGTTTCCAGATCACACACACATATAAACTGGCACTATGGGTTATTGAGTATTTTCACCCGTTGCTGTAAGTATTTTGTTTTTTCCGCATAGCTGTAAAAGGAAAGTTTACTATAGACAAGTTTCCCGGGCACTTCCGGTTTACTTCCTGTTTCTGCCAAGAACTTCCGGCGCAGGCTGAGTAGTGGTGTAAAAATGGCTTTGGAATGGCAACATTCGACCGAAAATCTTGTTAAAAATGGTGTTTTGACCATTCCGCATCCAAGTAAGGTAACATCATGGGTGGACAACATGTCGATATGGCCCAGCATCACAACATCCAAGATCTTTTCTTATTTTATTGATTCCATGGCGGTGGATGGGAATGCAATTAATAACCTGAAAAGCACAGAGGCGTTTCAGTACCTCCATTCCGACAAAGTGGGCTGTGTACTTTGACACGATATGGGCAGTTTAATTTACCTAAAGGCCGATGTTCAACCAAGCCAGTCCGTTAACAATTCAGCGCATAACGCCTGGGTTTTGGTTACCAAGACGGGAGATGTGGAGACTGCAGGCTGTACCTGTATCGCCGGACCTGGACGTTCCTGTAGCCATGCAGCCGCCGTGCTTTGGAAGGTACGTTAGCCCATCTTATGCTTGTATTAAGATGTTTGTATGTATCCGTGTGTTAATATATAACAGAACACGAAGAGTAATATAAAAAGAAAAGGTAATCCGTTCTAGGCTGCCTGCACTAAAAGCATGCTTTAACCCTTCAAAGTCGACTGAGGAGCGTCAAAGTGTGCACCCCTGACATATCTATTAATAGCTTCGGAATGGATAAAGGTATTAACTTACTTTTTTTTCTATGAAAAAGCTGACATTTGTCTGCGTAATAATTAGTAGACTGTGTTGACTTCCGCAAATGATAAGCCTTCCGTATTTGAGTGCAAATCTATAGCATTTTACCGCACATCCACATTGGCGCCTTGTAGATGGTTGATGGTCAAAACATTCTCCTTACGACCAAACTTTCAGCAATCGCCACGAGTTGTTGCAACCGTGAACAGCACAATATGTCCCGGAGCCATGTCGGCATGTAACCATCCATAGTTTACTTTTTCTGCACGCTAACCAAAGACAGTAAAAGACGCTAACTCCCTAACCGGAAGTGCTTGGCAGACACAACCGGAAGTCGTTGGCAGAGTGAAAGGCCAATGGCGGCCCGCCTATTTCACTCAGGAAACTTGTCTATATCTGAAAGATGTTAAGTGACCAGTGTTAATTTTGGAAGCTATTTTTGATTTAGTCTTAGTCATTAGACAAGAAATGCATTAGTTTACTTACATTTTGTCATTTTAATCCTTCTTAGTTTTAGTCTAGTTTTCGTCGACGAAAACTCAGAACCTTTTAGTCGAAAAAAACTAGACTAAAATGTAATTAGTTTTAGTCACATTTAATAGCCATATTAAACTCATTTTCTTCCCTTCTCAGGCCCAGGGACCCTCTGTGTTGTGTCTACAACTGCATAATAGTCTAGCTTGCAGGGATTTCAAGGCGTGGTCAGAGACCGTTTGTGGGGTCAAATTACGTAGAGATGTTCCGCCTAAATAGCCCGTGATGAACCATGTACTTCTCGGCTTAGATACCTGACCATACCCTGGAAAAATGGCTATTAATCCTTGCTCACTTGAGTGGCCTCCTTTTGATAAATGTTCCAATACTGCAGTGGAGTCTGTTTTACACTATTCTCTTGTAAGCAAGCAGATGAGAATGTCGTTGACGTATTGAATAACAAGAGAAGCGTCTGGTGGAATCCCTGACAGCAACATTAATGGGACTAGGTCACTTCTGCTCTTTCTCCTGCACGTAGTTGGAGTACCTACTGCTCCACCAACTTCAGGGCGTTGGGGCCGCTACCCTTTCAGCTTTTTATGCCATTTTATCCATGCACTGAGGCATAAAGGCAACCCTCTCACACTCATTCTTCTGCATTACTCTAAACAAGGGTGTCACTCCGTGTTCGAACCCCGTTCGACTGGTTTCACCCAGCTCAATCTCGCCTTTGTTTTTGAGCCGTCCCACTTTTTTGTTTCACACTCGCTGCGGCCATGTCAGATGTGTAAAACCAGTTTACAGCTCTTGGTTCAATAGTGTGTGAATATTTACATGTGATACACCGACTCATTTCACCAGCGCCATTATCAGTTTTGTCAGGACCTAGATCACCTCCCAAAATAATATATTAATATATATTAATTAAACATTTTATGGATCGAAACATAACTTTTGACAATGTCCCACAACTGTACTCAATTTTGCTGCATGTAAACTGAGGTGATTCAATAACAATATGAAATAATTTCAAATTAAATTGTTACATAAGAATATCAGTTTACTTCTTAGTAAATTATTTTTTCTTTACTCATCATTTATGTGATTTATTTCATCGAAATGCACTTGCCTCACTTCTAAATGCTTACTTTGCCACTGGATAGATTTCAGAGTAAATGTTTTTTTTAATCCAATATGACAACATGAATGACCATATTGGGCTGCCTGCAGTAAAGGCGTTTCTTAAACTCATGTTTTATGATTGTTGGAATTCACCCACTCCGCCGTGCAAAAAACAGACGCCTCATCTTAATGTTTTGACAACGACCTTGCTGCCCTAACCTCCAGCACGTCCAGTAAAACAGCCAGGGCCTCTAGCAGCGTGTTGTAGGTGTTGGCCTTCAAGGAAGCAAGGCAAAGCTCTCCTCTGGAGCAGAGGAGCTAACCGTGTTAACCCAAAGGGGTACCAGTGGATGCGTACAATGTACAATCCTTGCTGCAGTTGTAACAGATTTCCCTGAATGTGTTGCTCTTTTTTTGGAGTTATAAGGATTTTACCTTCCAGTGCAGCAGGTTGCTAGTCAACAGCAGCAGCAGAGGACAAGCTGATGATGCAAACATCCTTTCGGAGACCGTTTGGTTCTGCAAATTCCAAGAAATCTATTTTTATTTGTTTGTTCTAACCTACTGTCGTGCTGGTTGATTTTCTTTCAACAGGTGGAATGCTCAAACAATGCTCGGGACCTAAGAAGGGTGTGTCCCAGGATACCGAGCCAAGAAACTGAATGACTGACAGTTTGTTTTTTCATTGCTAGTTCACACAACATTTCGGAGATGAGTCATTAGCTTTCATTCCGATTAAAAAGGCATGAAGTTTAATCCAGTTTGATGGACTGTTCGAGTGCTACATTAGGTAATTAGTTAATAATTTATTACAACAACAGTCCAACCTAAGTCAAGATCCAGTTATATTTACATTAATTTTAAAAGGAAAATAAAACAAAATTGATCGAGCAAAATGCTGTCACGGATGACATTCTTAGTGTTATGGAAATATTATATAATAAAGATGAGACGGTTATTTTTTGTAATATGCATGTAAATGGTTTGCCTATATTCTGTTCCAACATGTATATATACATATACATACAGCGTATATATACATGTATATTCGCGCTGTGAATAACCCCAACAGCACCTTCAACCTCTCTATTGATGCCGCTTCTGTCGGTAATTCGTAAGTATACAGTAGGACTGCATTGCCTTCCCATGCCATCAATAACAAATCAATCACTCTCGAGTTGGGGTGTGTCAGATGCGTCATCAATAGAGCATGAGGATTTTTTTCACCATGGACGTCAAACTGGAGCTAACACTACTGCTGCGTGTGTTACATTTAACATGGTGAAGACTACAGAAAGCCTAAGAAGCTGCAGTTTACTTGTAATTAATACATTATGCTGCAATCGTTTAAATAAAAATCTAAATTGTAAAGTTAGTTTGTGAGAAAATTACCAGATGATATTCACCATCTCTAAATCTAGTGTTTTCTTACTGGAAGATGTTTACCCCTTGAGTGGTCACTTTAGAATATTAGGGAACTAATTTATAGCATTATTTTGTATGTCCACGTATTTATATAATTCTTCCGATGAATCACTATTTGTTTACTCTCACGTCGGTGCAACTTTCTTCACCAGTAAGTAAGTGGAATGCAGTAGCACCTTGTTTCACAGGCTCAAAGAAGGGAATGTACGAAATGCCAAGCATCTGAAATAACTGGAGTGGCCATTGTTTGATTTTGGCAGGTGAGGAGGTGAATCATCGTGTAAATAAGTATGTGCATGAATGCATCTTAAGCCTTCAAACTGTGTCCATATAAAAGACAGTAACGTTCAGTAGTTCATCACATGAAAGGTTTGCAACATCTCAGGTGTGAAGTGGACAAATTCATAAAAACTGCAATTGATTGGAACATCACGAGCACAGAGAGAGGGGAATTTGCACATTTTCCATTCATATTCCATCGACTTCTGTAAGTACATATTTCAATACGCAGGTTTCTGTGTATTGACTCAATTGCATGTGTGAAAAGCAGAGGACAAGAAGTATGATATATTTGATAATGGTATGTTGATTTATTAATGTACAGAAACATTCTAATGATAACTTATTTTCAGTTTTTAGGTAATAGTAGTAGTTTGATAGTTTCCACATTACTGAATCCATTGATTGAAAAATACAAACGTAATTGTCCCATCATGTTAAAATGTTTGTGACAGATTCAGCAAATGTCTCTTTATCCTGTGTTCACGTTTTAAAAAAAATTAAAACGACTATTGGTTGTATTTTTCTTCTTTGGTTTATGGCATTTGCACTTTCTTATTTTCTTAGCATTGGAAATAATGAACTGCCTTAGCTACAGAAAAAATTGTGTCCTCATAAAAATCTGTTCATACAGACTGTATTAAATAAATGGTGGATTTTATACATGTACCTAGAGTTTAAAAAGTATAAAGTACTGCTAGGACTAATATCGTAATGTGCAGTGTAACAAAAAAGTGTAATAAGTGCAAATAAAAAGAGTGGAAACAATCAGTGAGACATAAGCTGTAGTCAAGGAATCTCTGTAAGTAAAAACTTATTTTTATCAATTTAAAGGTATTACGAAGAAAAGGAATGGATGTCGGATGGACTATATCAGTTCTCATGCTTGTAATAGGTAAGCTAAGCATGATGTATGAATGCAAATAACTTAAAAGTAAAAGTAAGCTTTGTGCTGGTAGTAATTTTTTATTTTGTAATCAAAAATGGCAGGAGCTGGAGCAGTGACAACAGCTGCTGCACCTACAACTGCTCCAGCTGTGACAAACAAGACAAAAACTGCTGTAGTTATACATGCTGTACCATTATGTAATGGACTTGCAACCACAGTTGCACCCACAACAGCAGCGCCTGCCACTGAAGCTCCCCGAAGAGTCGTTGTCCTCTCAGCTACTTTGCAACAAGCATTCGTAAAACAACTCAATGATAAAAACAGCACGGAATTCAGACAACTCGAGGCAACAGTTGTGACTGCGGTTAGTACTCACTGTCATCATTTCTCTGTGCATTGCTTTTGGAGGTTTTAGTCAACTTTGGAGAGTACTGTTTTTCCAGTTTGTTCATGTTGTCCATTTATTCCTTTTTACAGTGTGATTCAATCTACACGACCAGATTCGGCGTCCTTTTCATCCGGACCTTTGTCATTGTGTTCAGGTAAAATTTCAAATGTTTCGAGTCCCACGCTCTGCAATGACAAATTTTAGACGTAATAATTACAAAACATTTGACAAATATTATACATTTGTCCACGTCAATGTTATTTGACCCATTTCTGTCTTTCGCACATGCAGACAAGCTCAGGCGGCAGGACAAATGTCTAATACGGAAGTAGAAGTCGGCATTGAGTTCAATCAAACTGCTTCGCTTGCTGAAATCCCACGGGCTGAAGACGTTGCAAAGACCTTAGTGGACGCTGTGAATAACCCCAACAGCACCTTCAACCTCTCTATTGATGCCGCTTCTGTCGCTGTAATTCGTAAGTATACAGTAGGCCTGCATTTCCTTCCCATGCCTGTGAAAGCAGAGAAATATACCCCATGTCGTCAATAAGGAATCCATCACTCCTCGCGTTGGGGTGTGTCATTTCCTGTTTCCTCGGTCACAAAGAGCATAGACAATCACACTTATCATGAAGTCCACGGTGACGTTGGCAAGACTATCTTCATCGTGACTTATCAGAGCTAAACTCTAGCAGCAATGTTTTTGTTTGATCAAGAAAAAGGTGCTCTGAATACCCTCATTTTTTGTGCGTAATTATTTGTTTTTATAGAAAGCAGTATCCCATCAAATACCACAACAGCAGCGCCTGCCACTGAAGCTCCCCGAAGAGTCGTTGTCCTCTCAGCTACTTTGCAACAAGCATTCGTAAAACAACTCAATGATAAAAACAGCACGGAATTCAGACAACTCGAGGCAACAGTTGTGACTGCGGTTAGTACTCACTGTCATCATTTCTCTGTGCATTGCTTTTGGAGGTTTTAGTCAACTTTGGAGAGTACTGTATTTCCAGTTTGTTCATGTTGTCCATTTATTCCTTTTTACAGTGTGATTCAATCTACACGACCAGATTCGGCGTCCTTTTCATCCGGACCTTTGTCATTGTGTTCAGGTAAAATTTCAAATGTTTCGAGTCCCACGCTCTGCAATGACAAATTTTAGACGTAATAATTACAAAACATTTGACAAATATTATACATTGGTCCACGTCAATGTTATTTGACCCATTTCTGTCTTTCGCACATGCAGACAAGCTCAGGCGGCAGGACAAATGTCTAATACGGAAGTAGAAGTCGGCATTGAGTTCAATCAAACTGCTTCGCTTGCTGAAATCCCACGGGCTGAAGACGTTGCAAAGACCTTAGTGGACGCTGTGAATAACCCCAACAGCACCTTCAACCTCTCTATTGATGCCGCTTCTGTCGCTGTAATTCGTAAGTATACAGTAGGCCTGCATTTCCTTCCCATGCCTGTGAAAGCAGAGAAATATACCCCATGTCGTCAATAAGGAATCCATCACTCCTCGCGTTGGGGTGTGTCATTTCCTGTTTCCTCGGTCACAAAGAGCATAGACAATCACACTTATCATGAAGTCCACGGTGACGTTGGCAAGACTATCTTCATCGTGACTTATCAGAGCTAAACTCTAGCAGCAATGTTTTTGTTTGATCAAGAAAAAGGTGCTCTGAATACCCTCATTTTTTGTGCGTAATTATTTGTTTTTATAGAAAGCAGTATCCCATCAAATACCACAACAGCAGCGCCTGCCACTGAAGCTCCCCGAAGAGTCGTTGTCCTCTCAGCTACTTTGCAACAAGCATTCGTAAAACAACTCAATGATAAAAACAGCACGGAATTCAGACAACTCGAGGCAACAGTTGTGACTGCGGTTAGTACTCACTGTCATCATTTCTCTGTGCATTGCTTTTGGAGGTTTTAATCAACTTTGGAGAGTACTGTTTTTCCAGTTTGTTCATGTTGTCCATTTATTCCTTTTTACAGTGTGATTCAATCTACACGACCAGATTCGGCGTCCTTTTCATCCGGACCTTTGTCATTGTGTTCAGGTAAAATTTCAAATGTTTCGAGTCCCACGCTCTGCAATGACAAATTTTAGACGTAATAATTACAAAACATTTGACAAATATTATACATTGGTCCACGTCAATGTTATTTGACCCATTTCTGTCTTTCGCACATGCAGACAAGCTCAGGCGGCAGGACAAATGTCTAATACGGAAGTAGAAGTCGGCATTGAGTTCAATCAAACTGCTTCGGTTGCTGAAATCCCACGGGCTGAAGACGTTGCAAAGACCTTAGTGGACGCTGTGAATAACCCCAACAGCACCTTCAACCTCTCTATTGATGCCGCTTCTGTCGCTGTAATTCGTAAGTATACAGTAGGCCTGCATTTCCTTCCCATGCCTGTGAAAGCAGAGAAATATACCCCATGTCGTCAATAAGGAATCCATCACTCCTCGCGTTGGGGTGTGTCATTTCCTGTTTCCTCGGTCACAAAGAGCATAGACAATCACACTTATCATGAAGTCCACGGTGACGTTGGCAAGACTATCTTCATCGTGACTTATCAGAGCTAAACTCTAGCGGCAATGTTTTTGTTTGATCAAGAAAAAGGTGCTCTGAATACCCTCATTTTTTGTGCGTAATTATTTGTTTTTATAGAAAGCAGTATCCCATCAAATACCACAACAGCAGCGCCTGCCACTGAAGCTCCCCGAAGAGTCGTTGTCCTCTCAGCTACTTTGCAACAAGCATTCGTAAAACAACTCAATGATAAAAACAGCACGGAATTCAGACAACTCGAGGCAACAGTTGTGACTGCGGTTAGTACTCACTGTCATCATTTCTCTGTGCATTGCTTTTGGAGGTTTTAGTCAACTTTGGAGAGTACTGTATTTCCAGTTTGTTCATGTTGTCCATTTATTCCTTTTTACAGTGTGATTCAATCTACACGACCAGATTCGGCGTCCTTTTCATCCGGACCTTTGTCATTGTGTTCAGGTAAAATTTCAAATGTTTCGAGTCCCACGCTCTGCAATGACAAATTTTAGACGTAATAATTACAAAACATTTGACAAATATTATACATTGGTCCACGTCAATGTTATTTGACCCATTTCTGTCTTTCGCACATGCAGACAAGCTCAGGCGGCAGGACAAATGTCTAATACGGAAGTAGAAGTCGGCATTGAGTTCAATCAAACTGCTTCGGCTGCTGAAATCCCACGGGCTGAAGACGTTGCAAAGACCTTAGTGGACGCTGTGAATAACCCCAACAGCACCTTCAACCTCTCTATTGATGCCGCTTCTGTCGCTGTAATTCGTAAGTATACAGTAGGCCTGCATTTCCTTCCCATGCCTGTGAAAGCAGAGAAATATACCCCATGTCGTCAATAAGGAATCCATCACTCCTCGCGTTGGGGTGTGTCATTTCCTGTTTCCTCGGTCACAAAGAGCAAAGACAATCACACTTATCATGAAGTCCACGGTGACGTTGGCAAGACTATCTTTATCGTGACTTATCAGAGCTAAACTCTAGCGGCAATGTTTTTGTTTGATCAAGAAAAAGGTGCTCTGAATACCCTCATTTTTTGTGCGTAATTATTTGTTTTTATAGAAAGCAGTATCCCCATCAAATACCACAACAGCAGCGCCTGCCACTGAAGCTCCCCGAAGAGTCGTTGTCCTCTCAGCTACTTTGCAACAAGCATTCGTGAAACAACTCAATGATAAAAACAGCACGGAATTCAGACAACTCGAGGCAACAGTTGTGACTGCGGTTAGTACTCAGTGTCATCATTTCTCTGTGCATTGCTTTTGGAGGTTTTAGTCAACTTTGGAGAGTACTGTATTTCCAGTTTGTTCATGTTGTCCCATTTATTCCTTTTTACAGTGTGATTCAATCTACACGACCAGATTCGGCGTCCTTTTCATCCGGACCTTTGTCATTGTGTTCAGGTAAAATTTCAAATGTTTCGAGTCCCACGCTCTGCAATGACAAATTTTAGACGTAATAATTACAAAACATTTGACAAATATTATACATTTGTCCACGTCAATGTTATTTGACCCATTTCTGTCTTTCGCACATGCAGACAAGCTCAGGCGGCAGGACAAATGTCTAATACGGAAGTAGAAGTCGGCATTGAGTTCAATCAAACTGCTTCGGTTGCTGAAATCCCACGGGCTGAAGACGTTGCAAAGACCTTAGTGGACGCTGTGAATAACCCCAACAGCACCTTCAACCTCTCTATTGATGCCGCTTCTGTCGCTGTAATTCGTAAGTATACAGTAGGCCTGCATTTCCTTCCCATGCCTGTGAAAGCAGAGAAATATACCCCATGTCGTCAATAAGGAATCCATCACTCCTCGCGTTGGGGTGTGTCATTTCCTGTTTCCTCGGTCACAAAGAGCATAGACAATCACACTTATCATGAAGTCCACGGTGACGTTGGCAAGACTATCTTCATCGTGACTTATCAGAGCTAAACTCTAGCGGCAATGTTTTTGTTTGATCAAGAAAAAGGTGCTCTGAATACCCTCATTTTTTGTGCGTAATTATTTGTTTTTATAGAAAGCAGTATCCCATCAAATACCACAACAGCAGCGCCTGCCACTGAAGCTCCCCGAAGAGTCGTTGTCCTCTCAGCTACTTTGCAACAAGCATTCGTAAAACAACTCAATGATAAAAACAGCACGGAATTCAGACAACTCGAGGCAACAGTTGTGACTGCGGTTAGTACTCACTGTCATCATTTCTCTGTGCATTGCTTTTGGAGGTTTTAGTCAACTTTGGAGAGTACTGTATTTCCAGTTTGTTCATGTTGTCCATTTATTCCTTTTTACAGTGTGATTCAATCTACACGACCAGATTCGGCGTCCTTTTCATCCGGACCTTTGTCATTGTGT